TTTTATGTTCAGGCTAAGGTAATCGTTAGGATCACACTGCATTTTCAATTTGAAGTCCTGTAACATGGTTTTGAATAATCGTCGAAGGAAAGCCGTGGTTTCTTCTTCTTCTGGAAATTCATCGAAATGAACGACATATTTTTTTTCATGCGCTTTAAATTTTGGTGAGGTCCTTTCTTCACCTAGTCTCATGTGATAATACTCCGAAATGGGTTTAGGTGGTAAATCTATTTCTCTCTCGGTACTTTTTCGTTTCAATGTTCGTCGAGGCTGTACCTGTTTTTCTCTAGTAGAATCCATGTCTATCACCCTGATGGCTCTGAGGGTAAAATGAACCCAGAGTGAAAGAAAAACCACATTTATATACAGTGGATGACGTCATAATACACAGGTAAGCATTTTTGCACACGGCCCTAAACAAACTTGGCTCGCTGCCAAGTATTTACCTGTGTAGTCAGCATAAAAAAGGTAACGTAGGTAAAACGTATATTTGCACAAGGCCCTTAAGTTTTTGCACACGGCTCTCTTTACAGGTGATGCAACAGGTATATAAAGCCTAGGTATTTTTTGCACACGGCTCACACCAGGTATATAAAGCCGAGCTGGGAGTACCCTGCACTCATTGTACCCATCATGTATTTCACGTGGAGATTGATCTATTGGTTTGATGTAGAAAAATATGTTTGTCATTACTGTGATCAGAATACGATGAATTATAAAACATTGACAGTGTATAACTATCCGGGATGGCATCAGAGAAGGTACAGGATTTGTCAGCATTGTGAAATGCCATTTCCACACTGGTATGTGGATGATGAGCCTTCTTTAGAAGATTGCGGTTGTCGCTGGTGCCTGAAATACTTCATACACAAGAAAGGAATTGAGAACATACCGCCTCCCCGATGGATGAAAATGACTAGGAACAGACCGTTGAAAGAATGTATGATGTGCTACCAGGAAAAGACTCAAGGAAAATGGAAATGCGAACAATGTCGGCAATATCCGTGTTGTGAGGAATGTGTGAAGAAACTCTTTGAGACGTCCTACCAGAAATGTCCCTTATGCCGATACAGTGGAAATTAAAATCATTTTTTGTATTTTTTCATTGTGAATAAAAATTGAAAATCACAATCTGTCTTGTTTGTGTTTTGTTTTCAGTAAAAAAATCCAGGTGGTTCTTGTCTTTCAGTAAAACCAGTTCAAACCGGTTATAGGACTGTCTAGACTGTGAATGCGTGACGTCATAATCACATTCTTGCAATGTTTTTTTGCACACGGCGCATTTTTTACCTGTATAGTCAGCATAAAAACAAAAAAAAAAACGTAGTACCTACGTATAGTGTAAAACACACTCCGTATTTTTAAGGGGATAGGGTTAGGGGTAGGGGTAGGGGGTTAGGGTTAGGGGGTTAGGGCTAGGGGGTTAGGGTTAGGGTTAGGGGGTTAGGGTTAGGGTTAGGGTTAGGGCTAGTTAGGGTTAGGGCTAAGGGATTAGGGCTAAGGGGTTAGGGTTAGGGAGTTAGGGCTAAGGATTAGGGTTAGGGGTAGGGTTAGGGTTAGGGTTAGGGGGCTAGGGTTAGGGTTAGGGGTTAGGGTTAGGGGTTAGGGTTAGGGGGTTAGGGTTAGGGTTAGGGCTAGGGTTAGGGGGTTAGGGTCAGTTGACCCATTTATCCCCTCCACCAATCAAATCTGATCACGTGATTTCTCTCAGCCAATCAGAATCCTCCCCTATCTAGGCTGCTTATACTACTACTTTGTGATATCAGCATCACAAACAACTCCAAATGACTGCATAGTTTTCCAGTAACAGTCTCCCCTATATACGACAAGAACACTTGAGAGTTCATTTCCTAATCCCTCAACTTCTTGGTAGGGATTCGTATTCAAAAGGTTTGGAAGCCAAAGTTTGTTCTGAGGGAAGTATGTGAAAAAAGTGTAATTGTAATCTATAGGATTCCAAATTAGTCTGTCATCTTTCCACGTTATTATAAAACCGGCATTTACAGTGAATTTTCCGATATGTTCCTCAAATTCTTTGATGTAGAAGAGATGAAACTGTATTTCACTTATGTCTATGGGATCATCTCTGTACTTTCCTGGTTTTAAATCCTTATTATATCCTGTCATTAATGCCGTGTGTAATTTTTGTTCATCGTTTAGGGAATACGATTTTACATTTTCAATTTCTGAAAATCCATATAAAAAAATGAAAAATGGGAGATAATCCATCATGCACATGTTCTTAAGGCTCTTATGTCTTTAACATCCGGAGACGTCTACACTGAAGTCCTCTAATAAGATTTTGATATTGTAATGAATTCAAAGCATATCTGTTTAAATACAAATTATAGAAAACGAAAAATTCTATTGGATACTGGACCCCTTAAAAATTTATGCCATCGATCGATCTTGATCATGGTGAATTGTTTTGTATTGCAAGGCTTGGTTTGTCTGACAATAGATATTATCAGCCTAAAGTTTTTGGAAATCAATATTTTTAAAATTTTACTTGTATATTTTACATGTTTTTAACCCAGATAGTAAAGTAGCATAAGCTAATCAAGCTCAGGGGTCTATAGATAGCATTTATTTCAGTGAAAAATGTAATTTTATCTTTGTCTCTTAAATTTTAAGTTTTAACCGGAACTTCAAAAACCCTAGCAAAATGTATACAAAAGTAAACTACGTAAATTATTACTGCCTAAAGTGTTAACTATATAACCTGTAACAAATTGTCAAATGTATCGTTGACTATTAGTACATTATTTAAAGATTTTCCTAAATACTTACAAATATAAGCAAAGCAAAAACTTTGACCAACAAAAATGCTTAAAATTACAGATTAAGATTTTCTTTCAGAAAAGAAAAGTTTTTAAAATTTCAAACTAGAAATTGCACTTTCTAGCATATCTTTGCTACAAGAAAGTACCCCCAAAAAGACGTGAAGGCATCTAATCCCAATATTTGATCGAGGGAACATCACGGTAAATCCAAGAATCTCCAATCAACGCTATTCATGAAATAAACAAAACGTATTGTTTAGTTATCTTGACGGATTTATTTCAAAGATTACAGGTTTTCATGATTTACTAACCTTTTTCCTTATCTGAAATAATTTCCATTTTGTGAAACCTAACGTTATTCAAAGCAATATCGATTTACCTTTCTGTCTGGTCATGACATAACATGTAATCATGGGAAGATTTTTACATCATACATTATTGTAAATTTTCTCAAGTCATACAAAATAAATGCAACAAAGCATAAGCAAAAAAAGTTTGAAAGCGTTTACGAGACAGCTTACGAAAAATAAAAATATCCGGATTGTTAATACCGTCACCGATATAAGTTTTAGTTTCAAGCGTGTGTATAAATAGGATTGACATTGATCTTGTTGACAACAGGCTTGGTAACACGACGCTTCGAGATGACGGCCCTCAGTATGGGCGCCTTTGGCGCCTACAAGCACGCTTACAGTAAATATCTACAGGAAAGAGAGGCAGCGCTCGCGAGAAACCAGCCGACAGAAACTGTGTGGGTCACCAAACGGTACATCCCCACAGATCTCAGGTCCACAGCGCCCGTCCCACGACACAAGCTTCTGGCGCCAAAACAACTTCCGTCCGCGGAACACCACTGGATTCCCGTCACAGATCCGCCCCTGAGAACTTTTGATCGTGGTCCCGGGAACGCTATATTTAAGTCTCATCCCAGCACGCGGTGTGAGGAGTATTCAACACTTAGGCAGATGCTTCCTTCCAGGGGATACCTGGTGGCCTTTGAACCACAAAACTGGGGCACGGGAAGTGAAATGCCGATAGCGTATGCTGACCGACCCCCCAAAAGGTTTCCCATTATTAACAGCCCAATGGGGAGGTAAGTGTCCTTTTTACGTACTGGGTATAAAAAATATACAACCCTAGGCCTAGCTATACCCCTATAAACAAACACACACAAAATTAAAAAAAATGAAAGACACATTTAAAAAAATAGTGAACTGTGGTAATATATATATGCAGTTTGAATAACTAAATCATCTTGTTATAACTGTCAAACCAATGATGGCTGTGTTCACACGTACACCTTTTTTATAAACATAAACCCATACTTGTCAATGCTATCAGTCTTTTGTGTCTGAATTTGTTAACCTGTGATACAAAACCTCTTAACTGTTTGTTCATTCAGACAGACATGGTATAGATCTTTTTCTTTACAACAGATGAATTAAGTCATTTAATATGGAACGCCGTCACTGCCTTATAGCAGAACACAACGATTGCATTGCGTCATCCTTCCATTACATTATGTCAACACTTTATGACATTTACTCACACTTTTATTGCATTATGTCAACCTTACATTACATTATGTCAACTCTTTATGACATTTACTCACACTACTATTGTATTGTGTCAACCTTCCATTATATTATGTCAACTCTTTATGACATTAACCCACAATACTATTGCATTATGTCAACCTTCCATTATATTATGTCAACTTTTTATGACATTAACCCACAATACTATTGCATTATGTCAACCTTCCATTATATCATGTCAACTCTTTATGACATTAGTCCACACTGCTATTGCATTGTGTCAACCTTTCATTACATTATGTCAACTCCTTATGACAATTACACACACTACCATTGCGTTATGTCAACTTTCAATTACATTATGTTTAGTCTTTATGGCATTAACTCGTACTTTAATTACATTGTGCCAATCTTCCATTGCATTATATCAGCTCTTTATGCCATTAAGTCAAAACAATTTTACTTGGTGTAAAAATGTTTTTATATATTTTCAACTCATTATTACATTATGTGCACTCTCGACTATTTGGTCTAAGTATTTCATTACATGATGTGAATGTATCTTTAACTCAATATCAATTCGCTATAATACGTTGTCAGAATTTCATTACATTATCTGAAAAAATTGTCACATGTGGTCAATTCTTTTACTACATTATGCCTTCAATATGCTACATGACGACGTGAATCAATTTCATGATGTGAATTTGCCCTTACTTTTTGACAAATCGTTATTACGTTATGTCATTGTGTCTTTACATTGTGTCAAAAATGCTCAGCCTCTTGTCAGCATACATGTATCTTAGGCTATTTCATCTCATATCAGATGTGAAAAGCTCATGTCATACTGCGCGCACTCTTCTACATTATGTCGATTCACTATTACGTTATGCGAACACGGGTATCCTCGGCCTTTATATGAGCTTAACGTATTTTCCGCTTTCCGAAAGCACTAAAAATGGCGGGAGAGAAAACTGTCATAAATTAAATTCTCAGCGATTTGGGAATTGCATCTTTAAATGAAAACTTTAAGCGAAAAATGATTGACAATCTTGAAACATGCAAAGCCTTAACACTGCGACTGTGAATTAAAGTCACGCGCCGAAATTCAATGGCGTTTACTTTTATCTGATAATTAAATAAATCAAATATGAGTCGTGCAGCATTTTTCTTTTTCTGAATTGCTTTTATTTTAAAATAAAAATCTTAAACTTCTGATCTTACTCAGAACACTGTATTTTTTATCAGTCTTTAACTCTCCTTTTTTAAAGTGTAAACAGATATATCGTATAACACACGTGCACTGGCGGGTTGGGGAGGGGGCAGAAATCCCGCCCTACCATCTTTAGTCACCAAAATATACATAAAATTAATAAATTTATTAGTTTTACAATGTAGGACATTGCATTACTTTCACATTAAGTTTAGCTGAATTAAATTGAAACTTTTTTCTATAAAACTATAAAGCTTGCCGGGGAGTTTTTCCGCTTTCCCCCTTTGGTCACCAATATACCGTCCCCCTTCTTTTTTCAAGCTTCCCATATGTGCCACAAATATGTGCCCATGCATGCTTATTAAAGCATATTCAATTGATTTAGAAGAGGGACTGGTAGATTTTTGTAACAGAATTCTGGTCTTGGAATGGTTGAAAAAATTACTGTAACTAATTCCGTGACATAGCATTTATTTGAAAGAGGATGTCAGCCAGAAAGAAAAAAATTATTTACCCGAAAAAAAAACTCGACAAGCCCAAAAAATTGTCCAAGCCCGAAAATCCTATTTCGGAGAGGGGGTCCGACTTCGATCAGTCCTATATTTTTTCAGTTATACTATATTACCTATAGTGGACAATACTTCAACAACAAGTGGGGGTGGGGGCTGTACTTTCAATGAACATTACATTTTCTAAAATAAGGTAATGTCTGGGAAAAGAGGGGGCTGATATTATGTGTCTGTAATTCGTCCTACTCAATCGGGACCCCCCCCCCCCCCCCTTACGAGTCATTAAAACACGGTCGTCAACATTCATTATTATACATGTACTAGATATTCAGCTTTGGAAGAAAATTTTTGGTACTGGAGTTCGAACCTTGCCCCCCCCCCCCCCCGCCCCCCACGAAATAGGATTTTCGTGTTTGGGAAATAGATATTTCATTTTTTTTTTTTGCTTGTCAGGTTTTTTTGGAGGTACAAAAAAATTTTCTTACACTTAGCCCCCCCCCCCCCACTTTCAATTTGCTTCCGACGCCAATGATAAAGATATTTTTTAAATCACATAAGAAAGAGTTGACATAACGTAATTATATATCCACATCACGGAATGGAGTTTTGACATAATGTAATAAAGTGTTGATATAATATTAAGATATTTTCACATTATGTTATACACTTTTAACACCACGTAAAGCACTGACATAAAGGTAAGATGTGTTCACCTCACATCATGATGCTCTCGCCGTAAAATAAAGATAAATCCATATCACGTAATAATGCTTTGATATAATAGACATATACATTCTCAAAAAGGAATGGACTTTTGACTTCATGTAATGATAAGTTTAATTATAAAACACAATTTACTTGACGTAATGCAATTTTGACCTCACATATTAAAGAAATGAAATAATATAAAGAAACATTCATTTCACGTAATAAAGTTTTAACACAATGTGAACATATTTTCACTTCATATAATGAACTTCCGACTTCAAGTTATAAAGTGCTGACATAATGGAAGAATGTGTTTACTTCATGTAATGTAGCATTGACATGATGTAAAGATATTTTTACATCACCCCATAAGAAATTGACATAACGTAAAGATATGTTCACATCACGTAATGATAGATTGACATAATGAATGCATAGTTTTATGCTATAAGGCAGTGATGGCGTTCCATATTTAAGTTAAAAAGGGTGTTTATATATATTGACAATCAGTTTAAATACCTGACACACATATAGATTATTGATTGTACGAGACTTGCTTAAATATCTTTAGATCTGTCATCTGTGAATTTTTCAGTAGGTAGCACTTAAATGAAACTTTTATCAATAATTTCAAATATTTTCTGAATACTGAAGTTTAAATTGTGTCAAAGTCTGACAGGTAAAATATTTAAATCGTGAAAAAGCCTGGAAAATGTCAGATATTTCAGACCAAGTCTGATAGGGTGTGTTAGTGTATGACAATGAAGATTTATATTATGATAGAAACATGACATTTTATTGTTAGGATCTCATTTGTTGTAAAAAGAAAAAAATCAAAGAGGGTTAATTTTTTTTTTGGGGGGGGGGGCATAGAAAAAAATTTACAAATATACTTGTAATGAATAGAAATTAATTTTTAAACATTTTTAAAAACACTTTAAGCATGAACCAAAAATATGACACTCAATCATAATTTAAATTTTTGTTCTTGAATTATGATACATGTATGTGTTCATCCATCCCAGCCCTTTTTCTATCACAATAAAATCCCCTCCTTAATTCTCCCTAAAGTTTATGTAACAGTATACAGTTATATATACACTGAGTACATGTGAATTAACCTACAGTCATCATCATATAGTATCACAAGACATCTCAGCTGACATAAAACATCAGAACAAAAATTTGTAGCCTGTTAATGTTCAGAAAGTTTTTGAATCTGGTTTTCTGTCAGAAAAAAGTAAGCAAGATATGACAGAAGTTTTTATTAAAAAAACATAAAAAAAAATTGAGAAAATACTCCTCCTCTACTAAAAGTTTGTTTTGGGAAGTAGCGGTTGTTCTTTAATTTTTTTTATATAGGGTGAAAATATTTTTTAAACAGAGGGTGAAATATATTTCCTGGTAATTTTTTTTTAAATAAAAGCAAGAATCTTGTGCACAGAGATCATAGAGAAAGATGGTAGACAAGTGCTGTCAGTAACAGATCTGTTTAACACTTAAAGGTTGTCTCTCCTTGTTCATCTTGTTGAATATAGTCAGATGACCAGGCATAAAAATTAGATGGAAGATTATTTCACAGTCTATTATGTTTTAGTCAAAATTTTGGGCAAATTCATTTCACAGTCTTTTATGTTTTGGTCAAAATTTTGGGCAAATTCATTGAATTGAATAAATAATTTTATAATGTTTTTTAAGAAATAAAGAGTAGGTTTAAAAAGAAAACAACAACTAGAAAAAACAAAAATGAAACAATTAATAAATTAATGAATTAAATAAAAAGAAATGTAGAAATTAACTTGAAAAATCTTTTATATTCATCAGTTGGAAAGATTTTTATGATAGAAAGTGTGTGATACCTCATTCAAGCTACACTGATAGGTTAATACATCAATCTTATTGTTACTGTACATCTAAAGTAAAAAAAAAATAGAATTTGCAGTTAGCTGATAAAAGGTTATTAATTTTCAATGCTCTGTTTTAGGTATGTTGATGAAATGCACACCACCAACAAGCTATTCAAGTTACACTGATTACAAAAGAGTTATCTTTCCTGTTCCCCAGGAATTTTTATCAGTGAGTGAATACCAGTATTAATATCAGAAACAGTTTGTCATTCCCTTTTTCTTCTTGTTGTTTGTTTTTTATCCTGTGTATGCCATTCAAGCATAATATATGTGATATTGACATTTTTTTAATGAAACACTTAACAGGAATGTGGGAGACTTTAATTAATTAAAGTCATGATATATTTGATCAGTATTAATTAATTATTTAGAATCTGTACATTTGTTGATCACATTCATTAAGTGCACATATTTGTCTCATGGTGCTGTTTGTTGTCATTTTGTGTGTTTTTTTTAATTTTTAAAATATACATATTTATATCTTTTTAATCTTTGTAGATTAAATTCTATATTTGTTATTTGCTCAGATTTTGCAGTGGAATTTATTTAGATATAGGGATATATTTAGTAGACTTTGTAGTAGAGATAGGACAGAGACAACGAATTGGTCCATATGTTGAGGTGTTAGCCATCAGAAGTATTATAATTATATATACATATTGTTGTTTGAAGTGCAAATTGTTTTTCTGTTTAATTATACATGTAGCTCAATGTATCTGTTATTTTCCCTTGATTAAAACCAGAGAAAACTAAATTGTTTTTATAGTTTATATCAGATTTCATATTGAGGTCAAATTTATCAACCCCCCCCCCCCCCTAATATTCCTGAGTAAAGAGCACTTTGATACTGTATTAAAATTTGACTCTTATTTTATTTTTACAGAACCTTTATTACATATTTGCATTGTGCATCTCCTATTTTACTTTTTGATCCGACACATATTTTAGGTTTTCCACAGCAAAACATGGACACTGCCATTAAAATCATATGGTTGGGGGTATCATTTAGTGAGATCATTGCTCACAGTACCTCTAGCTTTATTTAAAGTGTACATATGTTTTTGATCTCGGACTTCATTTTCAGTGCAATGAAGGGATTATATTTAAATACTAGTACCCAGGCCTTAAAAGAATTAACAGTTGAGACTTGAGGTTGGACAATATGAAATACTTGAAGTATAATCTGACCAGTTATTATTTCTTTGAATAGCTAGAGTGGCTTAGTGACATAAAACTGGCAATAGTGACCACACACCTCCGTATATTGTTGTACTATTTTAGATATGAACAATTTTATCTACAGTACAAACAGATATAATACAAACATGTATTCACTGATTAATTGGTACAGTATTTAATTTTGAATGTTTGTAAAATTGATCATCTATTCTCAAAGATATGAGACCATTATAATGAAGATGAACATATCCAGTTGACAACATATCCACAAACTGTACAATACCCTCAGACAGCTGACACTTATATACATGCTATAGATTGTTAAAAAAAAATTAACAAGCTATGAACATATCACTAGGGTACAGCCATTTGATTCTGAAAGGGGAGGGGAACTGGCATTTTTTTCTGTACGTGTGTGTGTGTCAGATTATTCCAAAGGGGTAGTGCTTGCATGGCAATTTTTTGTGTATTTATTTATTTGCAAGATGATCAGAGACAGATATTTTTTTCTTCTTCACTTGAATAAAATTTGACAAGCATAAAGGAGGTATAATTAAATGTCCAAACTCCACAACTCTATATTTTGTGGAGGGCAGGGAAGGGGACTAGTAACAAAGTGAAACGAAGATTATGTGTTTTTAATACTTCATCCCCCTCCCAAATGAAAAGATAATCCCTTTAATTAGTTTAAACTCAGGGGCTTGTTCCCAGTGTGTTATTCTTTATTTTTAAAAATGATATATATTTATCGTAATACTAAAAGTGTGTATTTTTAAAAATCAGTTTTACCGTAGATCTATATGATTTTTTAAAAAATAAATAATTATTACACGCCTGGAGCAAGTCCCTTGGTTTTAAGATAGGTATATAATTTTATATATATACACCTTTAGTCCATTCTACATGTAGGTTTATGATGTAGACCTACCACCAGTAGTTGTTGATACATGAATATCAAGTGTTCATCATGATAAAATGTTATAAGTGAATTTATAAAAGGTAAAACATACCACAAGTAATATTATTTATGCAACAGAAATGATATTGGTATAAAGTATCTGCCATGGTTTGACATTAATGTAAAATACGAAAACATCTCATTGAGCTTGAGACATATCTCATTGGCGTACAATATTAGACATTAATAGATTTGAAGTATAATGATAATCAAGCAATAAGTACTGATATATGATAGATTTAAGTAGTCATTACATAAGTACGTCTGGTCGTGATCAAGCGTCCTGCTTTATTGGCGACTTCTCTGAAAAGAAAGTCTTGAGCAGAAGGACTTGCCCCACACCGGCCAGTAAAATGAAAAACGTTTGTCCCACGGACCACCATGAGACCCCTTTATTAATATTCTCTGCCACATGGCGCCCCATGGCTTCCTTCAAACGATACTCTCGTTGATAGTTGACTACAGACGACATCCGCTCGTGAATGACGTCACAAGAAGCTTCAGCGGAAGTTTTCACGGTAGGGATTTTGTCTCCCGCTTCTACCGCGAGATTAGAAATCTCCATGTTTCTCAACTCAAAGTACACAATTTTATGAGTAAAAGTTGAAAACTCGTTTCCAAAGCAGAATCTGAATTCCCCTCTGGAAGCATCAAAAACAAATTCCCCTTCGTGATTCTTCGATTCCCTGAACAAAACTAATCCATTAGGGGAGATAACTTTGGCATCTACGTCATTATTTCCTCCTCTTATAACTTTATATTGAAATTTGAACCGTTTTCCTACCGTTACTCCATCAAAATCTTCAGAGAAGCAGTAGTTTTCTTTGTCAGGCAATTCGAATATCAACGAGGCACTGCTGACATTCTCATCGGAAATTATTGCGAACGTTATAAACAAGAAAACCAGAGGAACACTCCCGAGGCGTGTATGATAAGTTCCCATGATGTATTAACTGGTTTTCAATCATTTTCTTTAATGTTCAATCAATGATTTGTGTGCAAGATCTGAGGACTAGATCACTAGATGTTGCCCGCCACGTTACACTGTATATTGAACGACCAGTGCAACAGCTGCTATGCTATTTGGACGTGTCGCTCAATAACGTGTTTTTATACCATAAGACTTAAATAAAGAAATAATAAAATGTTGATCAATTACATGTATTTCGTTTTTGTTTAAAAAAAAACTAACAAAAAAAAAAATTCCTAATACTCTGTTACTTCAAGGATTGTGTAATGTAGGGCTCTTTTTGAGCAGAGGAGTTGGCTATTTTTATCGTTAAAAATAATTTCAGAAACAATATACCATCTTCAACCAAAAATGTTTTTCAAAAAATCTTCCGTAACCAATGCTTCTGATCTACTTCCTCTTTGACCACTGAGGATCAGATAGAAACCCTACCCTATAAGAGGTGTTTTTTTCCCTAAAATACAAAAAATACTCCAGGACCTTTTCAACTGTGCCTCTCCCATAATTACATTTGCATTATTATCATTTAAAATTATTCCACTGAACTTGTACTTTTATTGGAATTATAATCAGAAGTCACGATTTATACACATGTATATTTACGCAACGAAAAAAGATACTTGGAATAATTACATGAATGGGGTTAAGAAAAGTAATAAAATAAAAGATAAAATAAAATCATTCATATAATGCAAACATGGACTCTAAAACATCAGAGATGTGGTCAACGGACATGGTGGAATGTGTATTCCCTGCCGACTTGTCACACCCGCTTTGTGCTCCTTATTAGAATTGTTAAAAACGTCGACAATTCAGTGTGTAATGAATGATGTGACAATAAGTTTGAAAAACGCCAGAAAGCATTGGACTCAATGATAAATATTTACATTTCCAATAAATTTTCTCTATGATTTTTTACAAAAAAATGCAGTTCATTTTCTCATGAACTACACTACGTATGTACCACGAATAAACATGAATATCTCCATTGTTACATCATAATACCGCTCTTGACGCCAAAAAATATAGTGCACAATGTTTTGCTTTAAAAATGACAGTTGAATGGCGTAAATGTATGGCAAGTCATCAGAAAAATAATGCAAATGAAGGATATGGAGATAACGAACAGTATTTAATCTCAAAGTCCACAAAACAATACAAAATAAGAGCAGAGCAAACACGGACCCCCGAAACATCAGAGGTGGGATCAGGTGCCATGGAGGAGTGAGGATCCCCTGCCGACCGGTCACACCCGCCGTGTGCTCCTTGTCACGATCAGGAAATAACGGAAAAAATCCGTCGTCAATTCAGTGTATAAATAATGGACTAACAATTGATATGAAAAAAGTCAGCCAGCATTTGACTCAGTGATAAATTGTATTTGCTGACAAGGTCATTGTATCGACCATAGAATTTACGAAATGATGACTTTAAACGAAACTGCTGATATTCTTTTTTCATCAACTTGCTCGTCAATAATTTACCTCGTTTTAGAAATTGAGATATATATATACTCCGTATGCAGGTGATGAAGGTATATTGCTGCATAAGTAAGGGAAGTTGACGATAGAAAAGTTAAAGTCATCACATTTATCATATAGTTTGAAATTGGTTGTTAGATCACCAGTAGTGTCTTTTTCAAGTAAAATATCCAAGTATGAAACAGAAGTGTCGGACTTTGTAGTATCTTTTATCTCAAGCTCACCAGGATATATCGCATCGACGTAGGAATGAAAATTACCATTATTAATTGACAATACGTCGTCGATATATCTAAATGTCGAGTTGAAGGATAGCAAGTATTTTCTTCTTTTCACGCGCTTCATGAAATATGCCGGTGTAAAGACGAATAATGACCCCCATCGAATAATGACCGGGGGTCATTTTTCGACAGCGAAAAATGACCCCCGGTCATTATTCGACGTAGAAAAATGACCATTTTGCCCGTAGAAAAAGTGTCACAACCCTAAAAATTTGCAGAACCCACGTGAAGAAAAATGACCCCCGTAGAAAAATGACCCCCTGTAGATTAAAGCTAAAATTCTTAGGGGGGGGGGGCAAAAAAAAATTAGATAAAGAAGCATATTGGCCAAAATGCTCACCTGAACTTATTGGGATTAAATTGATGATATGTTGATCTCATAACATTATACAACTATAGCTATATTTTAAGGTCAATGCAATGATTCAGAATCTAAAGGGGTAAAATATTTATCAGGCCTTAAGGGTTAGGTAAACATTGTTTTTTGATTGTGGAAATCATCAAACTGACAGAAAAAATCAGCAGTATTATATATTATTATATCCTCGGCTTGAAAAGCGGGAGGGTATATAGTGATCGGGATGTCCGTCCGTCTGTTACGCTTTTAGGTATTCATCTCTTATCCGCAAATCCTCATATAAAAAAGATTTGTTTGTGAAACAGCTATGTCCCTGTATGGCAACCATAGCGAAGATTAAACTTTTCTTAAATGCAATTTAAATATATTGTTACCCAAAGTAGGGTCTTCTCACAAGAAATACAACTGCAAAATAGGAAAGCCCTAGCACCACTTGTTCAAAAGAAATGGCTAAGGATATTAAGTTTTTGAAAGGTAGGTCAAACTCAAAGGTCAAAGTTGATGAATTTTTAAGAAAATGTTTAATG